TATGGGAGACGTGGACAGACAGAATTGCCAAGCATATGAAGAATGGTAGTTTTAACTTTCAGAAAACTTTTCCTTCTTCAAGACCACTTATAAAATGGAAACAGATGTATGTTTAGAAACTTGTAAATTATATGAATAGATAGTAACATATAAATCTATATGGGATTTTTTTTTAATCCAGGAGACGATATGCTGCTACATCAAGATGTTAATTTCTCTCCCCTTTAAAGGTAAATGTTGGTTGTGTTCTCACAAGAACTGGCAACTTGGAATAGCATTTTCCATGCTTCTTATAAATGCATCCCAAGCCTGCAGTTCTTGAAGATTTAAGGAGGTTTTTATTAAAGCAGCCAGCTGCCTCTTTGTGTGGATTGGCTGTTTAAAGCTGCAGCTCTGAAGTGGGAGCCTCAGTTTTGACATTCTGTAGGCCCCTGGCAAAGAAGTTCCATTCAAATATGGGGGAACTCTTCGCCAAATCAGACAGTCTTTGGGGTTTCAAAGGGGAGAAGAAAGCATGGAAATAAATGGTCAAGACTAGGCAAAAGATGGAATAGGATGAGAAGGAGAAAAGATTCAAGCCATCCTCCTCCAGGGTGGATACACTTACAAGAAAACACCAATTTTACCCATTTAAACCAGTTGCCACCTCCTAACAAAATTTCCTTTGTTTCTGTTGTCATAGGAATACACAGATAATAAATTAAGATCTGTCAAATGAATACTATCTCACCTCTGTTCCAATAACCATGTGCTTTCAGCTCAATGTATTGTGTTTTTTCTGTTCACTCCTGGTACATAGAAATAAATAAATGACATTTACACATGGAGTGAGTGTGTTTGCTAGATGAACGAGTTAACAAGCTAGGGTTCGATTTGGAGTGCAGGGACTGGTCCCATTACTGCTACCTGGGTGAAGACTTTGGAGGCCTGGGGTGAAGGTGCTGGGGCCTACTAAGACAAGCCTGCCTCACTCTTTCCAGGAAGGTTACAATGTGGGGATAAATAAGGGTCTTTTGAATTAAGCTGGGATTAGCTGAGCTTTTTCCTCTGCATGAACACCAGGGCAGGAGGGAGTTCTCACCACTTCTTCACAAGGTCAGGATACTGACTGAGTAAAGAGAGAGCCCTTCCTCGGGACCTAAGGGAAAGGAATGGACTGGCACCCTTGCCAGAAACTCCTCTCTGGTGCCCTGCGTTTATTCTTGAGGAAGGGGCCTAGGGGACTCCCCCCACCCCCCACTGCGCTGTCCGCCCCAAGGCAGCGAGGCCTGCACCAGCCGAAACGTCTATTCTTCATTGTCCTAGAAAGTGATCTCCGGGAGCTGTGCTGGAGTGAGGGAGACATCGAGACACCTTGTCAGTTCAAAGCATTTTAGGGTTGTTTGAAATCCTCTCCACGTCAACGTAAGCAGCCTCTGTATTTGAACAGCTGCTTTGAACTGTGAAAGGGAATGAGCTGAATCAAAACCTGGAGGTGTCTCCCAGAGACACCTTCAACGTGCTTTTCTGCGGGTGGAAAAGGACTCTGCCCTGGCGGGTCAGAAGCACAGAAAGGCGCAAGCGACGGAGGGGGTGGGGTGGGGGGTGGAGAACAGAGAAGCCCCCCTCTGGAGCTAAAACCTAGGTTTCCAGAGCCCCAGGGAGACACTGCGGGGACAAGCAGACAGGAAGCCGAGGCTATTCTGAACTCAGCGTTCGCTCCACCCGGGCCTCTGGCAAAGGGCGGGGAAGCAAGGGTGGCTGGGAGTGTTCGTGGTGGTGTCGGGGGCGGGATTGTACCCAGAGCCACTGTGCGCGCCTAGCCTTGCCCTCCTAGCGATTGGCCGGGCTCTGAGGGTGTGGGATGGGATGAGGAGGCTGAGGCCCAGGGGTAGAGCATTGCTTTGTGCACTCCCAAGGATTTATTGGGTGTGTTAATCCCCTAGAACTACCAGAGTTTACCCGGTTGGGAACGTTTCGACTCCGTTGCCTACAAGTAAAAAGAGGAGGGGGTTGGGGCGGAGTGGAGACCCGAGACATCAAGGCTGATCTCGTAGCAGTAATCGCCACTGAAGTCCCATGCAGACAGGAAGTTTTGTTGTACATGTGCAGCCTATTTTTGCCCACCCCCCACCTACACATAACAGCGCCCTAAACTCGGAGTTGGGGGCGGGGGAAGGAAGAAAGAGAGAAGGGTAGGGGAGACTTTTAAACTGACTACAAGCCCGGCTGCCTCGCTTCCCTCAGAGATGCGTCTGGAAACCTTTTTCTTTGCTGAAGTGTATCACCCCACGGGCTGCAAAGGGACGTGTCCCTAGAGAAATGTGAAATCAAATCCAGAGAAATGCAGACACCTGCCCCGAAGCGTTGGGGGTGGGGAGCTGCTGAGTATCCCAACACGATTCTTCCTGACGGCCGGATTCATCCATCTGTGGGGGCTTAAAGTCTCCAAGTCCGAGGTCAGGAAGGAAGAGGAGAAGCTGTAAGGGTAGGGGGTGAGAGGGGCGCAGTGGACTGCAAAAGGCCAGTGCACTCCTTCTCAAAGTCCCAGGGGAGCCGCGCACCGCGTTTGGGACTTAAGGCCACTGCCAGATGGAGGCGGTCCTGCCCGCCGCCCAGTGTCTTAGCTCCTAGTTGAGGAGCTGCGGGGGCCAGCCAAAAAGTCTGCACTCTCCAAGCCTCGGACTTTCTCCTCCCCCCCCCCACCCCGGAGCTGGGCAAAGTTACGGGATTCTTAGCAGCCTTCAGGCGTACAGCCAGAGTGGCTCCGCGCTTGCGCTGGGATCATGCACAACACTGTGTGTGTCCTCTCCTCGCCGCGCGGGTGCGCGCGTGGGGGGATGCAGGTCCGTCCCGCTGGCAGCCTGTGGGCTCGACCCTCCCCTAACCATTTTGCTCTCTCCCACACACACGCTCATAAACACAGGGCACGTGGAAATTCTCAGCCAAAGCGCCTTGCCCTGGCGGGTGCTCAATGTAGTGATTTATAAACAGCTCAGCCACTCCCCAAAGAGCTTCGCTCCTCGTTAGTCATGATGAATTCTCTGGCCCGCTCTACTTTGGTGTCTAGATTAAGATACTCAGAAGCCGCAAAATGCTCCCCTTGAGCGTTGATTTGGCTTCCTTCACAAACCCACGACTGCCAGCAGCGCCAGCATTAGAGCTACAACGCGCGAGGCCAAGGGTGAACTTGGGGAACGCGGTCAAGTTCCTTGGGGTCTTTTTGCCCTTTCTGGCAGTGACCTGTGATTCTCTTCGAAGTATATGCACCGGTAAGCTTGGCCCATGCTTCAGCCTGGGTCCACCACCAGGCTTCTCCTAGACGACTCGCAGGCTCCGAACTGCTTCAGGCACTAACTCCTGAGCGGTTAGGAAACTGACCGAGCGTCGCGCTCGCTCAGGGTGAAGCGTTGCCGCTGGTGCACCGTCCAGCAGTCTCGCTGTGGAGTTCATGGCTGAAGGCTAAGTAGACAGCTACGCCAGAGAGCGCCTGAGAGCTGAGTTAGATCAACCCTACCAACTGGCGTCCGCAGAAGTTACTGATTAGAAAAGTTCCCCTAGAATCAGCCCATCTTCCATAGCACACTCTTCCTTTCCATCGAAGCAGCTAACGGGAAAGTTGCATAGAAGAGCGCCAGGATCACAAGGAAGCGCTCCCGCAACCCTGGCAGCTCGGCTACTCCGGGCTGCCCTTGGTGCCTCCACTGCACCCGGAGGCTGAGCACCTCTCGCCAGCGCTCCAGTAGCCTCGCACAAGGCAAAGGTCTGCGCGCGGTCTCCCAGTTTTCTAAACTAAAAACTGTGCGCGCGCCCTAGTGTGGGAATCTGACAGAGACTTTTAGAGTTTTGTTTTGCTTTCAGTCCGGCCCGCTGCGCTGTCAAAGCGGGCAACTCCGCGCCTTAACAGGAATCTCTCATAAGCCGATGCACCGGCTGAGCCTGCCTCTCGTAGGGGCCTCTCGCGGAGGCGCTGGGAGACAATTGGGCCTGGAACCTAAAAGAGAGAGAGCCTGAGCTGGCGTCCGGGAGGAGGGAAAGAAGAAGACCTTTACTGGGGACAAAAGTGTCCGCACACCCTGGAGCAAGAAGCACATGTGCACTGATATTCTAACAGTGGAGGGAAAGGAGTCTTCAACAGGGGGACAAGTCTCCTTCTGGCTCTCGGTGTAAGAAATGCTGATGTATGTGTGTCCCAAGGTGAATAAAAATCGGATGCCTCCTAGGTGGGTGCAACTCAGCCTTTCTCTTCCTACCTCCTTCTTCGCCATCCTCCCCCCACCACCCGCCCCAGCCCTATAGGAAAAAGGAGGTAGACCGACCCCCCCCCCCACCCACCCACCCAAGTCTTCCAAGTGGCTGTGAACCATAGTGCGCGGGGGCCGGCCCGGGCCTCCAGACCCCCAGCCCCCTCCCGGCACGTCGGCTGGGGAGACAGATGGGGGGCGGGGCCCAACAGAGACGGTCGGAGGAGGCCGGGGGTGGGGGAGAAAGGGAGGTGAGATCTAAGAGAATCTGAATCGGGTGGCGAGGGGGCACGGGAGGAGGGCTAGGAGGACTGCGCGCCCGGGGGAAAGAGGAGGGGCAGCTCTGCGCCAATCGGTGGCGCCGGCCTGGGAGGTTGCTAGTGGTATCCACGTAAATCAAAGGGCGCGGAGCCAATGGGAGGGGGCGGAGGGGGCGGGGCCCAGGCGCGTGCCGCTGCAAGCCGGCTCTGCCAAGAGAGCGGGAGAGAGCTGGAGAGAACCGGGAGAGGGGGGAGCGCAGAGCTAGTCTGAGAGTGAGCGAAGCAAGAAGGAGGGAGAGGAGGAGAAAGAGAGCGAGGGCGGGCGAGAGGCGGCGGCGGTGGCAGCAGCAGTAATAGAAGGAGCAGCAACAGAAGGCGTCGAGCGGGCGTCGGAGCTGCCCGCTGGGGGAAAGGGAGAGGAGACAGCGAGCGAGCGTGGAGAGGAGCCCGAGGCGAAAAAGTAACTGTCAAATGCGCGGCTCCTTTAACCAGAGCGCTCAGTCCGGCTCCGAGAGTCATGGCGACCGCAGCGTCTAACCACTACAGCCTGCTCACCTCCAGCGCTTCCATCGTGCACGCCGAGCCGCCGGGCGGCATGCAGCAGGGCGCGGGGGGCTACCGCGAGGCGCAGAGCCTGGTGCAGGGGGACTACGGCGCGCTGCAGAGCAATGGGCACCCGCTCAGCCACGCTCACCAGTGGATCACCGCTCTGTCCCACGGCGGCGGCGGTGGGGGCGGCGGCGGTGGTGGCGGGGGCGGGGGAGGTGGCGGGGGCGGCGGCGACGGCTCCCCGTGGTCCACAAGCCCCTTGGGCCAGCCGGACATCAAGCCCTCGGTTGTGGTCCAGCAGGGCGGCCGCGGCGACGAGCTGCACGGGCCAGGCGCCCTGCAGCAGCAGCAGCATCAGCAGCAACAGCAGCAGCAACAGCAGCAGCAACAACAACAACAGCAGCAACAACAGCAGCGGCCACCGCATCTGGTGCACCACGCCGCCAACCACCACCCGGGGCCCGGGGCATGGCGGAGTGCGGCGGCTGCGGCGCACCTCCCGCCCTCCATGGGAGCGTCCAACGGCGGCTTGCTCTACTCCCAGCCCAGCTTCACCGTGAACGGCATGCTGGGCGCCGGCGGGCAGCCGGCCGGGCTGCACCACCACGGCCTGCGGGACGCGCACGAGGAGCCGCACCACGCAGACCACCACCCGCACCCGCACTCGCATCCGCACCAGCAGCCGCCGCCCCCGCCGCCCCCGCAGGGCCCGCCGGGCCACCCCGGTGCGCACCACGACCCGCACTCGGACGAGGACACGCCGACCTCGGATGACCTGGAGCAGTTCGCCAAGCAGTTCAAGCAGCGGCGGATCAAATTGGGATTTACCCAAGCGGACGTGGGGCTGGCGCTGGGCACCCTGTATGGCAACGTGTTCTCGCAGACCACTATCTGCAGGTTCGAGGCCCTGCAGCTGAGCTTCAAGAACATGTGCAAGCTGAAGCCTTTGTTGAACAAGTGGTTGGAGGAGGCGGACTCGTCCTCGGGCAGCCCCACCAGCATAGACAAGATCGCGGCGCAGGGGCGCAAGCGGAAAAAGCGGACCTCCATCGAGGTGAGCGTCAAGGGGGCTCTGGAGAGCCATTTCCTCAAATGCCCCAAGCCCTCGGCCCAGGAGATCACCTCCCTCGCGGACAGCTTACAGCTGGAGAAGGAGGTGGTGAGAGTTTGGTTTTGTAACAGGAGACAGAAAGAGAAAAGGATGACCCCTCCCGGAGGGACTCTGCCAGGCGCCGAGGATGTGTACGGGGGGAGTAGGGACACGCCACCACACCACGGGGTGCAGACGCCCGTCCAGTGAACTCGAGCGGGGGGAGGGGCAGAGCGTGAGGCTCCCCCTCCCCTTCGGTCCACCGCCCTTTCCCGGCCCCCTTGTTTCCTCTCTAACTTCTGATTGTTCTTTTATTTTTAATTATTATTTCCCCGTCCCTTAAAAAGAAAAAAATAAGGAAAGCAACTAAGGCACTGGACTATCCTTTAAACGGTAGCAGGTGTAATGATGTGTTCTGACCTTTGCAGGCTAGTACCCAGGCAATGGAGTGGAGTGTCTCGTAGAGCGAGGAGAGAATGCAAGAGTGTGTGTGTGCGCGCGTGTGAGAGAGAGAAAGAGAGAGAGAGGGAGAACTGAGATAAATACTTGGCAAAACTAAATAAATTACCAAAAAAAAAATAAAGAAGAATCCACCAAGCCGAGATAAACACAAAACACAGCTTCCTAATGCTCGGAGTTGGCACATGCTGCTGTGTTTACTTAATGGGATCCCCATCAGGAAAGAGAAAAAAATACACACGTTCTTTGATATAGGCAAAATCTAACCACAAAAATTTGCACTGCAAGAAAATCGAAGTTTACATGAACAAATTCATGAACACATTTTCCCTTCCCACCGTTAATTTTGAAATTGCCGGGATTTCTGTTTTGTTTTGTTTTATTCAGATGAGAGTTGAAGCCAGCTCTTGGCCACTTTCCATTTCTAACGTTCTTGTGTAGCCACTTGTTCTTCTCGCTGTGTGTGAACTTTGGTTACCTCCAGACCCCCTCTCCTCCCTCACATTGGTGCAACTTTTATTTGCTCCTTTTACCAAAGCAAAACGATTGGCTTCATACAAAATCATTAATTCTCCGCTTTCAGGAAACGTGCATGGTCACCCTCTGTAACCAAGGTGAGAATCCAGTTTGGAATATAAAAATGAGAGTCAAACATTGGTTTTTATTACCAGAGACAAAGTAAACTTCATTTTCAGGCAGTGTTTCTGGGGGAGCTTGCAGAGGGGAGAAAAAGGGAAAAATCGATAATGAGTAACCGATTGATTCATTTTACCAAGCGGGCCCATTGTGAAAGAGCTCAGAGGCTATGTGGAGGTTAAATATATTTTCAGAGTTGTCCAACAGAAAGAAAGTGTCACTTTGAAGAAAACTAGGGAAATATGTGTCTTCAGACACCCCCTGTATAGTTCTCTGCCTTCAATTTTAATAACTTCATTTAGGAGGAATTATTTGTGCTGACAGCAGCAGTTAAACTTTGTTCCTGTAATAGCTTCTTTAAGAAAAAAAAAACATAAAGGAAATGATCTGGGACTTAATGGTGTATGCCTAGACTGTGTTTCTTAGCACACAAATACCCACATGCATACAGAGAATGTTTCCACTCTAGACTGGTTTTGTTTTCACTAGCTCACTTGTTTATCAAATTATATTTAAGGTCCCACACCCTGTCCTCCAATCATTTATTACAGAAAATACCAGTTTGACTTGGACAGCTCTCCCCCCTTTCATTCAGGAAGCCAAATGAAATGGGGAAATACGCTATTTTCAATCCTTCCTGTTCTCCCTTTGTTAATAGTTTTAAGTGCGTTTTTTGACCTTATCTTGATGGAAAATGGTTAATTCCCATAACAAAAGAATCTACTGGGAAATGTAGGTGAAAATACCTGTAACTGTATGGAAAATAAATGCCATTAAACTGTGATCAGTTAAAATATTTAAAAAATAATCAGCACAATAGGGCGCTAAAAGGGAAAACACTTTTTATTAATCTTAAAAGATCGGGGCTTTTTTCTGGTTAGGTATTAGGTAAATTTTTATTTAAAAAAAATTAAATCTCAACACCATACAATTATGGTTCAGCATCAGATTAGCATTGCACTCAGTAGTTAAGGTTTTAGGAACTATGCTTTATATTGTCTTTTCAAACACCAGTGATTGTTTCATTTTCAATGTTTTTGCAAGATAAGTGATGACTTCTAATGGGCATATTTATTTGCCTGTATCTCATTTCCCCCAATGAATGTCACAAGGAGATGGGCACAGAGCTGCTCGGGGTGCATCACACTGCTCGTTCCTGAGGTGTGGGACGGGCCTTTAGTGAAGCAATCCAGAGCAGGGCAAATAGCCAAGGGTAAGGGGAGGAAATGAATTTTCAGATTCTTATTACCAAGTGGGTAAGGTTAGAAGCTGGAGTTCAGGGGATGTGTCCATAGCTCCTCTAACTCTCAGAGGCTTATTAAAAAATGAAAGTTACCACTGAACCTTACCACTATGTATATATGTTTAATATCTGTCTTTTGAAATGCAGAAATAGTTTAAATGTTTCTTTGTCTATTTTTCTTTTTTTTTTTAATGCTACCCAGGGAAATATTTTCATATCATTTTTAAGTGGCCTGCCTCAATGTATATTTATTTCTTTTAAAACAAAAAGGTTCTGGAAATTGTTTTTCTGTAGCTTTAAATGAGTAGGTGAGCAAAATCTATATGGGATGTAATTTTTTTGTTCGGTCTCTTTAAAAATACTTTGTTTTGGTACATTTGGTTGTGCTTGTGGGGAAAATAAAAACACAGAGATCCTTATATATTTATGTTAAAGTAATATTTTATTATCTACATAAAACAGAAATGCGCAATACCTTCATAGTTTGTTCTAATTATTGAAATATCTTTATTTTATTTTAAAATAGTGCCAAGTTTTGAGAGGGGAAAACCCTAGACCTTATACTGACTGAGTTGAGTTGTGTGTAAAGTACTTCCCTTCCTTGATACTTCATGAAGTTTTGGAATAAATTTTATGCATATACTGCTAGGTTTCACACTGATAACTTTCAGAGGCTTTTTTAAAAAAGTGAGACTACTGTTCTGATTCACTTTTATTTGGAAAAAAATCAATCTCAAACCATTCAACTACTATGCCTAAAGCATTAAATTGAAATGGTCATTGGGTTTGAGCTTCAATGTGTTTGCCGTTTCATGGTCTGACGAAGAGATGTCTGTGCTCTCTACATGTGTGCAGCTCTCCCTGCATCTGCTTCCCAGGTTAGCTGTACCTTATCCGACTGCACTTTTTTGGAGAATATCCATGGAACTAGATGGGCTTTAATCTTTACCCACATCTCCTCACATAATTTGGGGTCTACAGAAAAAGCAAGGCTTAGTTAAGGAAATGATTCTTTTTAGTAATTTACAAATATCTTTCAACAAAGAAAAGCTCTGACAGTACGCAATGTGTGTGTTTATCAAGTGGTTGAGGTGGGTCCTATATTCCTGTTAGGTTTACAGGCAACGGTGGATTTTGCAGTGGTTTACACAAAACTATCTATTTCTCATCAGGCAGCAAACAGCCTCTGAAACAAGAAAAGGAACGTTCTGAGCTCTCACACTGTGGTGCGAATAACAGACTGTTTCTGATAGTCAGAGATGAGCATTATCAAAATCAGTTTTAAGGTCAGTGAGAAATCCAAACAGTGTTAGGTTAGTTTACAAGTTTGCTGATGTACTTAAAGTCCTCCTTGGAACATTGATTTTAGTATAAATGTTTATTTGGAAAGGTAGTTTTTGGGCTTATTACACCTGATCATCTTTTCTAACTCCTAGTCAATATTACACAGGTCCCAAACAGATTCAGCCCAATGATCTTATCAATAGCCTGAACTCGAAGTGACAGAAAGAAGAAGTGTTTGGTGACCGCAGACATGCTGATGGGTAAAATGTTTAAGCTGGGTATAGATTTGAGTTCTGGGTCAATATCCTCCTCCATTGTAGGCAGAAAACAAGCAGCATCTGCCCTCTGCAGGGCATCTTGGTGGACCTTGAGAAGGCGTTTTTGTTCTTAGCCACAGGGGCTACTGACTGGAAACCATCACGTGTTAAATGGACGTGCCATGGTTTTGACCCATGCTTGCTGTTCAGTTCTAATGCTACTCAGGCAGCTTCAATGCCATTTGGGGGGATGTATTACATGCCAAGGTGAAAAACTTCATCGCTGCCACTGGGAGAAATTTGTGGCAAGTCATCCCTAAAATGTGGGCCAGACACAATGACATACCCTTTCTTTTCCCTAAAGACAATAATGCAGAAGACAAGCATCCTGAAAGAGCGTCTGTGTTTCCTCAAAATATGTCACTTTTTAAAATTTATGGTGTAAGACCAGGGAGACGAGATCGTGTGGGAGAGTTATACAAAGGTCAGATGAAGGGAACGGCCACAAATAATATGCCTGGCACTTCTAAACCCTCTCGGTTCCCACGAAGTTACCTCCTTTACATTTCGGATGCAGCAACAAAAGCCTTCCTCTCCTTGCCCTCCTGCTCCTGCCAGTGGGAGCCACACACTGGCTGGCCAATTTTTCTGAGAAAATGGCTTTAACAAAGGCACTCATCTTTCTACTTCTTTCTCCAAAGGCAACTAATAAAGTGACGCATCAGTGACAATGGGGGGAATGGCATATGAGTGCGCTGGTTACCTGCACAAGTAGGCCTATATGTTGCATTAATTTGCCTTTCCTTTGCCTTACTTTGGAAGCGGCTCAGCAGTGCTGGGCTGCTGGGTGAGAGAAATTATCTTTTTATCACTGGTCTCCGTGATTTGTCTTTGTTGATTTTTCAATCAGTTTGTACAACTCTGTTCTAGATTCTATTGAATTCCTAGACAAGTTAAAGAATGAGGTAAAGAATGGAGCTTGTGCTGAAAAAGTCAGAAGGATGGTGAGGTGAGGGTCAAAGGTAAAAGTGTTTCTTTGGGTCTGCTTATATATTTCAGTGAGGCAAAAGGGACAGTGTCCATGGAAAGTGAAAGGAAAAGATGCATCGTTAAGTACCAGAAATGAAACTTGACAATAAGAATAAGTGAGATGTATGGCTAAATTTTATACAAACATTTTCCCTTTTCAGGAAAGTTTACTTTTTCAGTGATTCATAATCTATTAACAGGGGACAGTTGGCAGTAGGAGAGACCCAGGGCTGCTGGTTCCCATCCCCACTACTTGATTTGGGGTGGGCAATAATGCCAAAGTGGCAGGTAGCAAAAAAGAA